GTGTAGGTGGAGTAGCAACTGGAGCAGAAACCACAGCCTAAGTACCATGCGGAGGTCCACCCCTCCTAAGTCTGGGACAATATCTCACATTTTGCCTAGTATCACCACATTAGAAACAACCTCTTTGCGAGCGTGGATACTGGTATGAGTCTGACTCGGACGGCTAGAATAACCGTTGTAAGCACCCCGTGCAGAAGGTGCACTGGAAGATGACTGTCCAAAATGAGTTCTCTGAGGTCCCTGAATAGCTGGAGCACTGTGAGTAGCCTGAAGTGCAAAATGAACTAGTCGACTGATAAACCTCTACCATAACGAGTTGAAACTGTGATGCGGGAACCACTAAATTATCCAAAATCCCGAAGCCTCTTGGCCTCCCTATCCCCTCTCTCCTGATCACGGATACGCTCCAACCTCCTAGTGATCTCCACAACCTACTAAAATGGAGTATCAGTCTCCAACTCCCGCGTCATCCCAAATCTGAGACCATAACTGAGCCAATCGATAAATCTGTGCAACTCTCTCTCTGACTGTAGGAACCAAATCAAGTGCATGACGAGATAACTCACTAAACCACATGGCATACTCGGACACCGTCATAGTCCCTTGGCGCAACTGCTCGAACTCGGTGTGCAACACATCCTTAAGGGTCTGTGGAACGAACTCCCTCAAAAATAAATCAGTAAACTGAGCCCAAGTAAGTGGCGCTGCGCCAACTGGCCTACTCTTCTCATAAGCCCGCCATAATCTATACACTGACCCCACCCATCAGTTAAAGTAGTAAGGTCAACCCCGCTCACCTTCACTATGCACATATTGCGTAGAATACGGTGACACTAATCTAGAAATCCATGTGCATCCTCAGAAGTTGCGCCACTGAAAGTAGGAGGAAAGTACTTCTTAAACCTCTCTAGCCTCTTCTACTCCTCCTCTGATGCCACTAGCCTGACCTCAGGCTGAACCGTGATCACGGGTTGTACCGGCATAATACCCGAAACCTGATCAAAATAAACATGCTGCTCTGGAGTATGGGCGGCAGGAGTCTGAGCTCCTCCCCAGCCTGAGAAGTAGTTGGTGCAATTGGGATCGATCCCGCCTGAGCCAAGGTACCGAACATGCTCAGAAAATGTACCACAGTCTACTGAAGTCCAGGGGTAGCAACAGGTGCCTGGGGTGCCTTCTCTAAAATTGGAGCTACTGGTGTCTCCTCAGTCGCGACCCTAACATGACCCCTCACTGCAGCACGTGCACTATCTCGGCCTCTACCTCTACGCCGGCCTCTAGCAACACCGGTACCGGGGGCAACATCATCGGTAGCTGAAGCTCACGTCCTCACCATCTGTGAGAGAATATAAAGACAAAGTCTCAATTTCTGAAATCAATAAATACGCACGATAATGAATGAAAGAAATGAAATTTCCTAATAGTTTCGTAGCCTCTCGAAGATAAGTGCAGACGTCTCCGTACCGATCCGCAAGACTCTACTAAACTTGCTTATGACTCATAGAACCTATGAACCTAGAGCTTTGATACCAACTTGTCACGACCCCAAATCCCACCTTAAGGATCGTGATGACACCTAGTCTCTAAGACTAGATAAACCCATTACACAACAATATTGAACAGGATATAACAACTTAAACAAAACTAAGAAAAATGCTCAAATGATAAACAATATGGTAATACAATAATAAAATCCCAAAACCCGATAATATAGAATCATAAGCTCTATTGAGAATATACTAGAAGTCTCGAAATACAACACTAGTTGGAAATAAAGTAAAGAATAGTAAAGAAACTAAATAAGGTGACTTCGAGGCCTACGAGCGGATAACAGGTATACCTTGAAGTCTCTGCAACTCTATCTCAACTCAACTCTCTACTGTCCGGCATGATCCGAGGTACCTAGATCTGCACAAAATTGTGCAGAAGCGTAGTATGAGTACGCCACAAATGCTACCAGTATGTATCAAGACTAACCTCGGTAGAGTAGTGACGAGGTTCAAGTCAAGACACTCATTAGACATAAAATTTATGCATAATATCAATATAAAGCTAACAACGGGAAGTAATCAATAAATGGCAACAAAGAGTAGCATGTAGTAACACAGCAAATTAACCCAAACACAGTTTAAATACAAGTGAATCAATTAAGAAAAACAATGACAATTCAAATCCCCAAGTCATTCCAACACAAGAATTACAACAAGAATCACCCTGAGGTACCACACCTCATAATCAAAAATCACAAGCCCCCTTATGATGTCACATGAGCTTCACATTTTTTAAACATTTTCTCGAAATATCTTCACGCGCATAAGCCTATCTCGCCGCGTGTGCTTCACAATGAAGTATTTTCCCTTACTAGCAATACGTGCATAAGCCCCCTTATCTCGCCGATTGTGCATCTCAATATACACATGTGCCACAATATTACCACAATAACAATACCAATGCCACAATAAGATATAGCCCATAACTTAACAACAATGTGTACAAGAGTCATCACAAATAATATAAGGTGTGGGGAGTGAACAACAAAATAAAGGCATGTTTCATATGACAAACAACTCCAAATCAAGGCATATTAGTAGCCTAAGGTCTAATCTGGTCATAACCATCACATACGCATGTGTACACACTCGCCACCTTATGTATACGCCGTTTCACATAGCACAAATATTGTAAATTAGACCAAATCCTAACGGATTTTTTTTTCACACAAAGTTAGGCAAGATACTTACCTCAAATAACCTAAATCAATCCACTAATAAGCCTTTCCCAAGCAAATCAACTTTCGGACGGCTAAAATCTAACCAAAATAACTTAATATCATAAATAAAAGTCATAAGAAATGATTTCGAATAATAAGGCTTCGATTTTTAACTAAAAATAGAAAGTCAACCCCGAGCCCACACCCCAAAACCCGACAAAACTCGTAAATTCCGAACACCCATTCCGATACGAGTCCAACCATGCCTATTTCATCAAATTTTGACCTCAAATCGACCTTCAAAACATCAAATTATGTTTAGAAATCTTTTTACTAAAATCTCCAATTTCTTCAATTAGATTCATCAATCACACATTAAAATTGAGGTTGGAATCATAAAATATAAATAAATCTGAGTCAAAAATACTTACCCCGATTCAAATCGTGAAAATCTCCTCCAAAATCGCCCAAATCCGAGCTCTTTAACTCAAAATATGATAAATAAAATTAAACTCCCGGTTCAAGATATTTTTGCCCAGCCTTTTCGCTTATGCAGCCCATCAATCACATCTACGACACCTAATTTGCAGAGTTATCATCGCAGATGCGGACTCTACTTAAGTCCTAACATTTTCGCTTCTACGCACCTTCACGCGCTCCTGTAAAGTTGCTTTTGCGGATCAAAGAGCGCATCTGCGGAGCCACTTTTGTGGACCCAAGCGCGCACCTGCAGAAACCTCTGAGCTCAACCAATACTGCATTTGCGGTCCCATATCCTCTTCTGCAGACTTGCACTTGCGTGCCAAAAGTCGCATGTGCGAAAGCACCAGAACTGAGCTGCCAAAACCACCCCAAGTAACCCGAAGCCCATTCAAATCTCACCCGAGCCCCCTCGGGACCCCATACAACCACACCAACCAATACCAATACATAACACGGACCTATTCGAAATCTCAAATCACACAAAATAATATTAAAACCACAAATCGCACCTCAATTCAAGCCTAATGAACTTTCAACTTCCAAAACTCATGCCAAACCCTATCAAATCAACTCGTAATGACCTAAAATGTTGCATGCAAGTCCAAATGGCACAACTGACATATACCAACTCCCGGAACCGTAATCCGAACCCGACATCAACAAATTCAATTAATTTTTTCATTATGAAAGGATATGTTTTTAGAAAATGAATATTTTTTGTCGGCCATCCCAAGAAAAAATAAGAGCAATATAAAGTTATCATCGATTTCAAAATGACATGCTAGAAAATCCCTAAAAATGCAATCATTCACATTTTAATGTAATATGCATTGTGGAGAAAGTTTTGGAATAAAATTTTGTGCCTTTGTATTGGATAATATTTATAAAATTTGAAAAACTGTTTAACATGAAGAAAGAAAAATTATTTTCTATTTACAAAAAGGAAATATTTTCTAGAATCTTGAGTTAGATTTGATTTTGAAACCAACATTTGTCATATTGCTTGAATAACATGACTTTGTTGGACAAAATATGCATTTCAACTTTACAAAAAAGGTATAATAAAGAACTTTATGAAAACAATTTCAATAAAATAAGAAAAAAAAGAAATTTGTTTGAAAGAAAAAGAGAACATTAAGAGAAACAACTTTACAAAAGTTTTCAGTATGATCAATTTGGGAATACGTCTGCAAACATTATTTTGGTAATTATCTTAATGTAATTTTGTTTTAGTTTTTTAATGTAACTTTATCTTTGTTAAGTTAGGTTATTAATTAATTAAGTCTTTTCTTTGTGAGGACGATGTAAGTGTTTTCGCTAAGATGCTATTAAATAATGAATTTGATATTATAAGTATTGAACTTAAGATCTTTATATTTTTCTTGATATACTAAAATAGTACATTTGCGAAAAATTGGTTAATCAAGGTATAAATTAGTTTTGAAAAATATTTGGTTGTATTAAGCACTAATATATTATATAACTCAAAATGACTTCAAGAGAAGTATTGCAGATATAGTAACCTTTTTTGTAAGAAAAAAAAGATGAAGAGAGAATATCTTTTTTGGTCATGCAATTAGTGGTATTTTGATTACAAAATCAAAAGTGCTAAATTAGCAAGTGACTTTTGATTATTTTTGATTAACTGTCACACGGTTCACTATGATGCTTTAACTCTTAACTCCTCCAACCAACTTTATCTGCAAGACAAAAAGGACAAAAACAAAACTTTACAATCTTTATGGCAATCGGGAGCCCGGGCTCACTCTCCCTAAGTATATCTTAAATATTCTGGTATAAAAAATGGACCACGGCGATCAGAAGCCTAAATTAAACATTTCAGGCCAAAACCCCATTTTCCTCTCTCTCTCTCTCTCTCTCTCTCTCTCTTCACTCCATCTGTGGCTGACAGCGGCAAAAGGCAGATCTGCGCCATCAGCGACGTGAGAGCCGACCCCTCCGCCCATCTCCCTCACCCTTCGAAATAGGTGCATTTGGAAGCCTCACACTACCTAAAGCAGAAATTTTCAGCTTTTGTTTCAACCAAATTTTCTTATTTGAAGAATGTTTAGAAGATGTTTTTGTCGATTTGTTGTTGTTCATTTCACATATTTAGGAGCTTCTAAAATGTTTTTTTGGCTTTACTGATATTTACTCCAAAAACAAATTCAAAGTCGCTTCTCCCTAAACAACCTAAAAACTGTTACCCAAAGCAAATCGGAATTGGTTTTTTAATTAAATGAATCTAATGAAAACTAAACCAACACCAATTTATTATCTAATTCAAACGCTGTTAAGTATTTAGTATTTAGATTTTAGTCGACTGCTTTCTTTTGATGTTTCAGATTTTGGTGAATTGGGATTACATGATGGTTGTTTTGTTTTTAACTACAGGAGATTCATGATTTTGTTTTGTTTCTTGTATATGATATGCTCTCTCCTAACTTGGATCTTGGAAACTCTAATCAATAGAAAATCTGCTTTAGAAATTTGAAAAGGTGAGTGCTGCCTGCTGGGATAGTTTTCTACTTTAGATATCGATATTTTGTTCTAGTGAATTTAAAAGTTAAAGGTTATTGATACAGTGAATTGCAAAAGAATAGGATAGCAGGGGTGGCTCATCTTGGATCAGAGAAAGAAGGTGAATAAGAATATCAAAGAGTGACAGAAAAAAATGTAGGGGTTTCTAAATATGAAGAGATTAGGGAAAAGAAAAATTAACTTGGACAAATTAAGGAAGAAAAGCAAAATTTTACACGTTATCTAATAAAAGAGTAAAAAGTTAAATTGTCAAATCAACTTAAATTGAAACGTTGAGAAAACAATTCATCTACCCATTTTTTAGTAAGTCAAATGTTTACTTTATTTATATATCTAAAAAGTTTTATTTTCTTTATATGAAAATATCTACTTTTTATATTAAAAGTACTAAATATAATTATTTTTTAAATACCTATAAACCTTATTTCTAAAAAATGGGCCCCCCAAAATTTGGGGCCTAAGGCACAAGCATTACTTGTGATAACAGTAGAGCCAGCCATGTAGGATAGATCCATGAAGAACGACATCCGCTATTGAGAAAATATAGGAAAAGTTTTAGAAAAGGCAGGGTCCAGTGCCGAGGAAATGCAAAGTTTTTTTGGCAGAATGCGTAAACAAGAGTCTTATATTAGTAGTTGCTAAGAAATTTTTTTTAGAAGGAGTTTGTTATTAATAACATTAATGTCTATATGTTATTGTTCACAGGAACCTCGTTAGTAGCAGTTGTCGTTTGTTCTCACAAGGAAAGCAGTTAAAACTGCTTGAGATACTCTGTATACAATCTTGCAATTCAACACTATCCAGTGAGTTTTCTTTACTATTTATGTGCGTCTATGTGTTTCACTGGTTTGTTGAGGAAAATCAGTAATGATGAGATCACCTTTTTCTTGTTTAGAGTATTTATTTATGGATTTTCAGTTGCTCAAAAGTGTTAAATACAGATGAGGATAGCAGTAGAAGGGTGTATGCACGGAGACTTGGATAATGTCTATGCCACCCTATTGCAGTTGCAAGAAGTTGAGAATATAAAGATTGATCTCCTTTTGTGTTGTGGTGACTTTCAGGTAGATACATTTGTTCCTTGTTAGCTTTTGACACATCAGTTGTTATTCGATTTGTCTGCACGAGTTAATAATGGAAATCGGGCTTTGGCTCATTTTCTTTACATATACCAACCAATACTGACTACACCGGGATTTTGTTGTTCTGAATCTTCTATGCTTATGGTTCATTCACTGGAATATTAGTGTTAGCTCATTCGTTGTAACAGATTCTATTCAGTTTAATTGTGCTCTTCGTTATTTTGAATCATTCTTTGTTAATACATCTTTTTGGTGTTTTGAATCTTCTATGCTTCATGATGTTGGTAATTGATATGAGATTCCATTATTAATGATGCTTAAATCATTCTTGGCCTTTGAATGTGTTGATTTGGCTGAGCAGTTTCAACAGTTTGATGCTCTAAAACACTTAAATCCTCAGCTTGACTAGTATGAATTGAGATATTTTATTTGTGCAAACAGGCTGTTAGGAATGAGAAGGATCTGGAAAGCTTAAATGTGCCACTTAAATACCGGAGCATGAACTCTTTCTGGAAGTATTACTCAGGAGAGAAAGTAGCACCATTTCCAACTATATTTATTGGAGGAAACCATGAAGCATCCAATTACCTTTGGGAATTGTAAGTTGGTCTCCATATATGACAGCTGCAGTCAATGTATGCTACTTTAGGATACGTCAGTTTTAGTATGCTACTTTCCTCAACTTGCTTAACTAATCCAGTGGTTGTTTGTGCATGCAGGTACTATGGAGGATGGGCAGCACCTCAGATATACTTCCTTGGATTTGCTGGAGTAATCAAGTTTGGCAATGTTCGTATTGGTGGCCTTTCCGGAATTTATAAATCACACGATTACAATCGGGGTATGTCAGTCTTTGCAAATATTACCTGGATTTAGATATTGGCATTTTTAGTGTTGATGTGTTAGTGAAAGCAACCTTGTAGGTTTTGCCAAAATGCAAGTTGTATTAGTGGACTAATTGACTGTTCCTAGCTCCTCTAGATTTGCTACTGAATATAAGCTTTAAAAACTTGAAGTTGGATATACACAATTGTTATCTGTGACGTGCCTGATATTGGGCAGGGCACTATGAGAAGCTGCCTTATAATCAACGGGATATTCGATCTATATATCATGTTCGTGAGTATGATGTTCACAAGCTCTTGCAAGTTGAGGAACCAATTGATATCTTTCTTTCACATGACTGGCCTGTTGGCATCACTGACTGTGGGAACTTGAAAGCTCTTCTTCGTCAGAAGCCTTTCTTTGAGCAAGAGGTAATCATTAGCGGGTTCACTTTTTCCATGGCTGATATACCTTGTTAAGATAAAATCTTATATGCAGATCTGCTTATCCTAATGGAAAATACCTTAGTCCTTTTATATGCTTTTTTTATTAACTTTATATGATACATAGACATGATATCTCTCTCTCTCTCTCTCTCACACACACACTTGCATGAACGAGCACACAAGGTAAAAACCAGAGCAAAATATAATTTCTGCTGTCTTCCATTAATGAATTGTTTGAGTAGTGAGATATTATCCATTAACTTATTCTCTAATTGACAGTTCTCCAGGAGGTTCTCTTGTCTGTGATGAACACTGTATTTGTCGTTACACACACTCTTCATGTTTGACGGGGAAATTCTCCTTTAATGCCCTTGTTGCATGAAGTTATCCTTAATATGCCCCAGATGTGCACATATACAGTTTTTTCTTTTTTATACAAGTGGGGTCTGAGGAGGGTAGTGTGTACGCAGACCTTACCCCTACCCCGAAGGAGTAGAGAGGCTGTTTCCGATAGACCCTCGGTTTAAGAAGACGAGAAGAGAAGGGACAATATATTAGTACCATCAAACATAAACCAAAGAAATAATAACATCATAAGAATTAGAAAATAGTTGAAATGCAATAAAAAACCATAAAATAAGCCCGATGCTATGAAAACATAAGGATAGGGAGAACACTTGTTGTATTTGGTTGGTTAGTAGACAAGATAAATCAAAAGATTCATTAAGTAGTGACAACAAGTAGTAACAACAACAAAATACTAAGAAAACCTAAGCGAAAGATAATAAGAAAACAACAGTTAGTAATAGCAATCTAAGAATAAGAAAAATACCAGACTAAGATTAATATTACTGGTATGCGAAAGAAAAGGAAAAACGTTCGACTATTATTGGTATGTGAAAGAAAAGGAAAAATGTTCGACTACCTACTAATCTTCTACCCTAATTCTCGACCTTCACACCCTCCTATCAAGGTAATGTCCTTGGTAAGCAGGAGCAACGCCATGTCCTGTCTAATGACCTCTCCCCAATACTTCTTTGGCCTACCTCTACCTCTCCTCATACCCACCAAGGCTAATCTCTCACACCTCATAACTGGAGCATGTATGCTTCTTCTCTTCACATGTGCGAACCATCTTAGCATCGCTTCCCATATTTTGTCCTCCATGGGGCTACTCCTACCTTTTCACAAATATCTTCATTCGTAATCTTTTCTAATCTGGTATGCCCGCACATCCATCTTAACATTCTCATTTCAGCTACTTTCATCTTCTGGATATATGAGTTCTTGCCCGACCAACACTCTGTCCCATGTAACATAGTATGTCTAACCACCATTATATAGAACTTACCTTTAAGTTTCAGTGGCACATTCTTATCATATAAGACACTGATGCGAGCCTCCATTTCATCTACCCTGCTCCAATACGATGTGTGACATTCTCGTCAATCTCCCCATTTTCTTGGATTACTAATCCAAGGTACTTGACACTTCCTCTCTTGGGCATAACTTGTGTATCAAGACTCACGTCCATGTCCGCTTCCTGGGACACGTAGCTGAATTTACACTCCAAGTATTCTGTCTTGGTCCTGCTCAACTTGAAACCTTTAGACTTAAGGGTCTGTCTCCAAACCTCCAGTCTCTCGTTAGCACCGCCTTGCGTTTCGTCAATCAGAACTATGTCATCTGCAAATAACATACGCCATGACACCTCCCTTTGAATGTGGCGCGTCAGTGTCCATCGCCAATGCAAATAAATACTGTGACGTGTTCCGAGTCTCCTCCCACTATTCTTACTTGGGTCTTAGCTCCAAATACATGTCCTTAATCACCTTAGTGTTAGCTACATGCACACCTCTAGCCTCCAAACATCTCCATAGAACCTTCCTTGGGACTTTATGCAAGTTCTTCTTCCTCTCCTTATACTGCTCCACTAATCTTCTTATAAGGTGAATGGCTTCCGTAGTCGAACGACCCGGCATGAATCCAAACTAGTTTTCGAAAATACACACATTTTTCACCCACTTTTACCACCCTCTCCCAAACTTTCATAGTATGACTTAACAACTTGATACCCCCATAGTTGCTGCAATTTTGGATATCACCCTTGTTCTTGTACAACGGAATTATCGTACTCTACCTCCATTCTTCAGGCATTTTCTTCGTTCTAAAAATGACATTAAACAAACCACTGAGCCACTCCAAGCCTGCCTTACCTGCGTTCTTGTAAACTTACACCGGAGCAGGAAAACCATACGGCATATTTTTTTTTTTCAACTCAGTGGTTCATCAATGCACATTGGAATCTTCCTGCTCAAGAGGATCCGATAATGCCTAAAGAAACATTCAATCAGATAAATCACCTTCCTCTGTTTCGATAATTTCTGCAACTCAAGGTTCTTCTGACCTTTTTTCCATTAATATTGGTTCTCTTACCCCAATCAAGTTGACGTCACCAACTATTTTTCCTGGCATACCTAATGGGAGTCTTCTCTTGTTGGCTATGATTTTGAAAAATACATTGACACCTCCTGCTTCTCAGCCAGGTTCGATTTTTTGGAAGCGTCAAGATAGTCTTCTTCGCACTGCTTTGATTTTCACTTTCAGCTGAGATTGTGCCTTTTGTCATCACTGCTAAGAATTTGTATGCAACTCCATATCGTGCACATCTAATGAGTTTCCGAGATAGTCTCGCAAAAGTATCGAAGTACTACATGACGATTACTGCCTACATTCAACATGTTCGATAAATAGCAGATCAATTTGCAAGCTCTAGATCTCCTGTTTCACTTGATGATCTTGTGCTTCATATTCTCAATGGCCTTCCCCTAGAGTTTGATTTCATTGCTACAACTATTCAAGTCAGAGATTCTGCAATTTCTATTGAGGAACTTCATCAAAAGTTGCTTGGATTTGAGGGTCGGATGAATCGACACATACTACAATTGCAACACCAATCACAACTAACTTTGTTGCAAAACAAGGCAACCCAAATCAGTCTTGCAGCCAAAGATTGAACCATCAGGGAGGCAACTCGAACAATCAGTTTCGGTCGCAACAATTTTATCCCAACATATCCTCGTTTACTAACAACAATTGGGATAATAAAGGTGTGGTAGGCAAATATTAGGTGATTTCTTCCCATCTATCCAAGCCTTGGTGGATAGAGCTACCTGGTACCTGTTGCTGGTGGCAGGTGGCAGGTATCCTGTGGAATTAGTCGAGGTGCGCGCAAGTTGGCCCGGACACCACGGTTATCAAAAAAATAAAATAAAAATAAAGGTGTGGTATGCCAACCGTGTGATAAGCCAGGACACACTGTGAAGATTTGTTGTAGCCTATTGGGTGCTTTTCCGTGGATGGGCAACTCTAGTTCGCCAACTCAAGTCTTTTCTCAACAGCTACAAGCAAATGTTGCTACTACTTTACAACAAATACACCCTGTTGGTCGACCGACTTTGGAGCTTTGATCATGTGACAACTAATCTGTCCAATCTCTCCTTGCACTCAGATTATTATGGTATTCATTGTTGGTGATGGTAATACTCTTCTGATTACCCATACAAGATCTTTATCTTTGCTTTCTTCACAAAAGCCAATGTCTCTTCAAAATGTACTTTCTGTTCCATCCATGAAACATAATCTTATACTCCCTCAATTTCAATTTAGATGAGGTAGTTTGACTCGGCACGTAGTTTAAGAAAAAATAGAAGACTTTTAAAACTTGTGGTCTTAAAAGCTTAAGGGGTAAAAGCTTTGTGGGACCATGACATTTGTGTGGTTATAAAAGTTTCTCATTAAGGATGAAATGGATAAAATGAAGTTTAAAGTTGAATTATTTCCAAATTTAGAAATGTGTCATTTATTTTGAAACAAACTAAAAAAAAGTACCTCATCTAATTTGAAACAGAGGGAGTATCTGAGACTATATCTGTTTATAGTCTCTGTTGTGATGATTTTTTATCTGTTAAGTTCTCATTATTCAACTTTGTTGTGAAGGATTTTTGCATGGGGGATCCACTAGTGGACGGACTGCCTAAGAGTTGTGTTTGTGAATGGCGAACTGATATTCCTGCTTTGTTGGCATCTTCTCGTCCTCAAGTGAATGTTGCTTCTAAAGTCACTATGATCTGCTGGCATCATCGCCTTGGTCATCCATCCAATAGAATCTTGAATAAAGTCTTAGGACGAATTTTCCTTCAATGTCTACTGTTTCTTCTACATCTTTTTTTTGTAATTCCTGCAAATGCAATAAAATGCATAAACTTCCTTTCTCCGTCTCTACTTTGTCTAGCTCAAAACCATTGGAACTTTTGTACACTGATGTTTGGGGTGCTTCACCTGGAGTTTCAATTGATGGCTATAAATATTATTTTATATTTGTTGATCATTTAACCAAGTATATTTGGTTTTTCTCGATGACAAACAAATCCGATGTTCCTATAATATTTCCAAAATTCAAGGCCACAGTTGAAAAGTTTTTCCAAAAGTCAATTATCTCTCTTTACCGTGACAATGGCGGGGAGTTTATCCATCTTCGATTCTTCTTTGGAAGTCATGGATTCTCTCATTTTCTAACCCCTCACCCTCCTGAACATAATGCTCACGCTGAGCGGCGTTATCGCTACATCGTAAAGATGGTCTATCTATGCTTAATCTAGCCAATCTTCCACTTTCCTTTTGGTCATATGCCTTTATTGCTGCTGTCTATCTCATAAATCGGATGCCCATTTCTGTTCTTAATTTTGATACTCCATATTTTGATTATTTGGCAAAAATTCTAATATTTTCAAACCTCGGGTCTTTGGATGTTTATGTTATCTTTGACTTAGGCCTTGTAATAGTCACAAATTACAACCTTGTTCCACTCTTTTGTATTTTCTTAGGTCATAGTAAGACTCAAAGTGCATATTTTTGTTATGACCAAGAAAAGTCAAAAGTTTTTATTTCTCGTCATGTGGAGTTTATTGAGAATATCTTTCCAT